GCAACACATTTTTCCCTGAAATAAGCACCACCCCACATACTCACCCTAGTGCTATACAAGGGGACATAAGTGTATAACTATAAAAACCACTGACATCAGTTTCATTTGGGACATGCAAATACAGTCACTATGCACACACTCACTTACACACACACACACACACACACAGTGCGTACACACTTACTAACACACACACTGTCACTCAAACACAAACACACACACAATGTCACACTTATTTACAACAAACATACTCTACTGACCAATTTACAGTACACTCATACTCAAATTAGTTCACTTACCTTCAGATGGACCTACTAAGTTTGAATGGAGGAGAGGGGTCCAGCCTGCAGGTCAGCTGGTGCTGTTCCTGGTGGGGGAGCAGGAGATGCGTGCACTGTGAGCCAGGCTACTTCCTGTTCCCCTCAAGTGACTCCCGGTGTTCACAGGCAGGGGGCAGCCAGGATACCATAGGCATGTCCCGGCTTCCCCTGGCTGCTAGGAAGCTGAGTGCTCTGTTCGGGTGCTGGGGTTACAGCATTCTCCCGAGCAGGAAAAAAAAAGAAGAGCCCAAGCTGAATGGCTGTGCTGGGGGGTGGAGAAGCCGATGTGCCCAGCACACCATTCCAGGCAGCAGCAGGGCAAAGGAATTCCCGGTAGGCGCCCCCCAGAGGCCGGCGTCCTAGGCGAGTGCCTTATTCGCCTTAATGGTAGCGCCGGCCCTGATGTATCTGGTAATGGATTTTAAAGTAGGCAAATGATATGGGTACTTTGCGAAAGCAAGGAGTAGTAAACGGATTGGGGCATCCCTGGTTTGGTGTGGGTGATTTTTCTGATTTGAGCACATTTATCCATTAAATGGAGGTTGTTGAGTTTGTATTATGGCAAAATCTGACTTTGCTATGGAACATACGGACATATGGGACAGAAAGTCCATTTATGGGGCATTGCCATGCACCAACACACCACACACCACACACACCAAAGCCACGTACACCAGTGGAAGGACAAATGTATGTCTTCTAAACTCCAAAGTTTCACACAGAGAATGAAATGCGTGGACAAGGTAAGTTCTCAATAATCGTTTTAAAATCAGAGTTTTAAATATATCCAATAAAGCAATTTTGTACCTTTCATTATATCTCATTTGTAAATTTTGTAAGTTTAAAGGGGCTATAGTCACAACTTTAGCTCAAAACTTTTTATTTATAGATCATGCCTCCAAATTCATGCTCAATTCATTGTCATTTGGATTAAATCACTTTTTTTCTGTTAATTCAAAGACTAGCCACACTACTCTGATTAAAAAAAAATTTCACTTTCAAATCTATTACATGTAAAAGTTTTTATCTCCTGATCTTAAATTGAACTTTAATCCTCAAGCGCTGCGGGTCTAGCGCTATTAGCAATACCAATAATAAATTAAAAAATTTGCAATAAATAAGTGTAAACAATAATGACATATTTACAATACAGCATGGAAGTGGACTCTGCAAAACAAATAATTAACACCTGAATAAAATATTCTCAGTGAACTGCAGCATATACTATACACCAAACTGCTTTAAGCTGTTTTTTATTGACTACTCCATTTTGGCTGCCATTTAGACACCCTAGTGAGGGCTCCATTGCTAATGGGGAGAACTAAAGGCTATTGACCACACTATTTTTATGTCAGCTGATAGTTTTATATTACTGAAAATCTTAGAAAGTATGGTGGAACAATGCTTCAAGGTCTGACAAGCCGGGACCTCACAAATTCCCCATCAGTTTTTAAGGGCATCCAATAGTTGATACAAAAGTGTCAGGTCCAGGACATGTATAATAATAATAAAAAATAAGTTCACAAATTTAAAATCCCCGGATACCTGGGTTGAGTAAATATCAAAAAGCTATTAGCAGTAAAAGACCGAAGTGCTCATATTGTACAGCACACTATAACTCACTTGGAGTTTTATGCAGTTGGATACCGTATCTTCAGAAGGATCACTTGAGAGCATTGAGAACTAAACAGTTCTGGATTACAGGATAAAACTTCAAAAGGTTAAAGGATCTTACATTATACTTGAGGAAAGAAGTCAGGGGGGATTTGATAGAAACATTTAAATAAAAAGGGAATTTCAACACAGTAAAGTGAACTTTGTAAAAGCAGAAAAACTACCACAACTAGAGGACAGAATTCTTAAATTAAGGGAAAAAGGTTTAAAAATAATATCAGGAAATTAGTTTACGCAGAGGGTAGTGGATGCATATGAATAGCCGACCAGCTGGGTTGTATAGGTTAACACAGTAAAGGAGTTTAAGCATGCTGGGATGGCATAAGGCTACCTAACTATAAGATATGGCCAGACTAAAAAGCTATTTAGAAAATTCAGACTCAGAGGGTTATTTGGTTTTATCTGCCGTCTACTTCTATGTTTCTTGTTCTCTATGAGCTTCTGATTTTCGTTCCATGCACTCGATGACCAAACACCGCTGTCTCTGTTCGCGACCGCTTGGATTGTTCAGGTTAATGCGGTTGGTGGAGGTGTGAACAGAGATTTCTGGGGTTAACGAGCGGCACACTACACTTATGGGTGGTCTGGCATTCGGTAATTTGTTCGGTTGTCGAACAAGACGTGGTAATAGACGGGGTGGCTGCTATTTTACCGAACGGCCAGAAGAACAGGGGAGAGAACACGAGGAACCAGGGACTATGAGCACAAGACATAGGAAATAACAGGGGGGACAAGCTATGGGCAGCCCATAGCAGAAATAAGGGTGATAGTCTAAGGTTCATTCCGCTACATTGTACACTCACACATTGCACTATGCCACTTACATACATCTGTTGGGAGTTATACTGCTTTTTTAATGCATGGAAATTTACTAGAAAAAAACATAACTAAAAGCAATTTAGGCCATTGTCTCAATTTTTTTCCACATTCCTATAGTCTCTTTGCGAGATAACAGAATATTTACCACTCTGAAAATGTTCGGATCTGTTTCCGTCCACATTTGGGAAACAAAAAAGAAAGTAAGGATTGAGACTTATTGCTGTTTCTCACAATTCATTTAGCTCATTTCTCCAATCAGCACATGTCCGTGGAGATATACCGATGTAAACAGAGGGATTATAAATGTTTCAATTTAACTTAAGAATAAATCCCTGAATCTGAAAAATAAATCGCCATGCAGCGTTAATTCCCAAGCTTTTCATCAGTTTTTTTTTTTTTTACAAACAGCCAGACGTATTTTTGATTATTTTTCTCTCCAGGGAGAAAGAACTGAAGAGGCTCTTGTTTCTAAAATTATTTATTTAAATTGTTTGCTGTGGAGCTATATTCGTTTGTTAGACAGATGAAATATAACGTTATTTTATATTACTGGTATGAAGCTTTCCCCTGTGGCAGTCAAAGAATAATGCATGACCGTAGGTGTAAGCACGCATATCACTTAAATGATCTTTAGCTTCATTAAACATATTTCTTAAGACAGCACAGTTTGTGTTTTTGGTCACCAATCAGTGTAATTGAGTGATTGAGTTTTACATTGTTTGCAGGCTGTCAGGACCAATCAGCTTCCAACAAAAGGCAGGAGATCTGTTGTGCAGCAATAAGAATGCAGATCTTGTGACAAGTAAAGATTAGGTTGACCAGGGACCTAGGCAGGATGCCAAATTGGTCCTTCTTCTATAGGCCTGGATTCTGTTCTGTGAGTGTTGTGTGTGTGTGTGGTGGTGGCTGTGTAATGCATTTAGTGGAAGCTGAGAATTTGATGTGGGCAGTAGAGAGGCTGAGTGCGCCTGTATGTGCAGGTTGATTGTTGTGAGTGTGGTGGCTGGATTTTGTGTGTGGAGGAGACATGTGTCATGTGTGTGTATTGGGGAGTTTTAGCGTGGCTTAGTGTTGTGCGCATGTGTACTGAGTGTGAGTATTTTGCCACCTTCCTGCTTACCTTTCCTTGGTGGTCCAGTGGAAGCTGAGCTGGATCCTTGGTGGTCTGGTAGGGAGCATGGTCTGTACCAATTTTGGGTGCTGAACAGTTATAGAACTCCCTTGCAGTCCAGTGCTGTGGGTCATTGAGAAGTGCCAGTAGACTGTGAGAGCACTCCTAAAGTAGTCTGCACCCCATGGAGGTGCAGACCACAAAGTTCCTTCGAGCAGGTAAGGAGACACGGGGCCACCTTGCTCTTATGTGATCCCTGGCCCTAGGCAACCGCCTATGTTTTCTTATGGGGATAGGCAGCGAGATCCATAAATGCGCAGACTCCAGGTCAGGAATTCCATCAAGATAGAAGACACTGGGCCGGTAAAGAGATATGTTGGAGGAACCCATTATAAGATATCTGCGTCTTTGTGACCTGTGAATATAAATAATTAATATAACTAAATGTTAAAACATAAAATGAACAAAGGTTTCCTGTATTATAATATTTACAACACAAAATGGAAATACATTAATCGAAATTTTCATGTCAAGGGTATTTTCAGTAAGCAGTTGGACGTGCTTTAAACCAGGGGTAGTCAACCTTTTTCGACCTACCGCCCACTAATGCATCTTTCTTGATGGAAAAATGTCCTTACCGCCCACCAGTTTTCGCGCAAGTGCGGAATATTTTTTGCCATACAGGAATTAACAGAGACATGAGGTGAAGAAGGCCCTATTCAAACAAGAATACAATCTACCAACAGTCAAAGTCTTGAAAACAAACTGTAGCATTGTGGTATTGGCACATAGCAAAAATCAGCTTTATATAGCACCCAAAAGTGGGAATGACCACTTGATGTTCACAGTAACGATTTAATAATAACCATCTTTATTTAGGCCTATTTTAAATTCAAGTATAGCAAATTATGTAGATAATTGCTTACTGATATTGAAATTCTACACAGCATTAAGATGTGAGAAAGGGCAGAGTCACCATCCTTCCTTGGTGCTTGGGAAAGTATTCTAGAGGTTAAAGTTTAGGAAGAACTTGGGAACATTCACAATTCACACCACAATATGCTATAATAAACGGCCTAATAGCCATCCTGTGTAGTCTCACCTGCATTGTAGAAGCGGTCCAGCACGGTAGTCTCCCCAAAGTCCAGCTTGCCGAACTGCAGGGTCTCCAGAGCCACCCCTTGGCTCTCGCACGCCTCCTGCAGGCTGTGTAGAGCAGCATGCTCACTTTGTTGCAGTCCATGGCTGCCTTCATTGATGACATAAACTACAGTAATGGTTCGGGTATTGCCAACACTGGTGGCAGCCTGATGAAAGCCCTTGGCACATCGAGCAGCAGCTCCTCCCACAGCACCGTGTATATAGTCCTCACTCCAGAAACTGCCAGCTGCAGGAAGCCTACTGCCCCCTCCAGAGGTTGATACTCCACCTTGATGCCTGTGCCCAATTTTGTCGTCATCCACATAGACCCCTTGGGTGGGTGGAGGGGGCACTGAGAATGTGATCCCCTCACTGCTGTCATTCATGGCTCCTTTCTGATAAAGCCACTATCTGGAAGTGCAAGGTAGGCTACTACCCCCAGCCTGGCCAGTGTCTGCTCGCAGAGCAATGTCAACTTCCTGCCAGACTAGCACAATAACACACCAGGGAGGGTGACGTCCTAGAATTCAGCTGCTGAAGGCTACCTGTACCTTCCCATATTTAAAAGCTTGGATTTCCAAGTCTGCAGTTCCCCTGTTACACTCACTGCACCCCTTCCACTCTCTCTCTGCAACTTCCCCTGGCACCCAAACAGGGAGAGGAGTGTAACAGAGCTGTTTAAGTACTAACTGTGCTGCTGCCCTATACTGCACTTTACTATAACAGCCCTGGAGCCCTTTATGCCCCTAAAACACACACTGCGCCTTATCCAGTTAAAAAGCACTGCAGCCCCATACTACAACTTTTATATTCCCCCACACTATAGACTCCATGTCTAAACAGCACCCTGCTTCCTTCCCACCATAAGCTCCACATGCAATAGCCCTTCAGCCCCACAGCACTCCCTACTTAATTCCCCTACACCTCTACACATTAATTTGCACCCAAGGCTCCTCTCACATGTCCACAAGTCCAGCCAGAGTAAAGTTGCTGTAAATTCGTAATCTCAGAACACTTTGATCAGATATCATGCCAGTCAGCACCCCACCTGCAGATCAGAGTTCATGTTCTGTCAATAGCTGCATCCAACGCCCGCGTTAACAGAATGTGAAGCCTTTGCCTCTCTTGCCATGTTTGTAGTTATGCCGCCTGTTGCTACATTAGGGAATTCACGGGATTCGAATAGTTTCGCTCTCCAGTGATGGCTGCTGATAGCACCGCCTGCACTCTGGGCGGGACAGACAGCAGTGAGAGAAATTGTTACAAGACACAGAGAAAGGAATGTGGCATGTTTCCACCCTCAGCCCGCCTTCCATCTACTGCACGCCCTCTCCTGTTAACCTGTCACATTCTTCCATTTCAAATTGCATAGTTTGTAACCAGAAAAGTAAAAAAAAAAAGAGATAATCATGTTCCCATTACATTTCTCAGAATCCACCAATGTGATTTAATATTCCAAATAAACACAGATTAACTAAAAATTCCCTTTTTGGTCTTCTTTTTTGCATGTTCTGTTTCAGTATTTTTTATTTATGTTATTTATTTATATTAAATCGCCACAGAGGGGATATGATAACATTATACAAATATATTCAGGACCAATACAAACCGTTGTGTGGAAATCTATTCACAAACCGGACTTTACATAGGACACAAGGTCTTGCGTTTAGACTGGAAGAAAGAGAAAATTTTGACTAAGGCAAAGGAAAGGTTTTTTTTTACTGTAAGAATAATAAGGATGTGGAATTTTCTGCCTGAAGAAGTGGTTTTATCAGAGTCCATACAGATGTTCAAACAACTAGATGCATACTTGCAAAAACAGAATATTCAAGGATATAATCTTTCAATGTAGGGTAATAACTGCTTGATCCAAGGATAAATCCGACTGCCATTCTGGGGTCAAGAAGGAATTTTTTTCCTAGTTTGTTGCAAAACTGGAAGTGCTTCAAACTGTTTTTTTTTGCCTTCTTTTGGATCAACAGCAAAAACAAATGCGAGGAAGGCTGAACTTGATGGACGCAAGTCTCTTTTCAGCTATGTAACTATATATAACTAACTATCTAAAAAAAGGCAACATTTAAAAATAATTATTTTGAAATGAAAGCTTACATGTGAACTGAATTTGGCTTGATCTGAGATTTAGGTAAAGGTCCATGCCCAAAAATAGGCCCACCAACAGGCAACCTAGGGGCCCAGAGAGGAGCTGCAATCCTCATCGGTCGATTGGGAGATTAAGGATCCAACTGACCTGCCAGCCAAGGTATCAGACTGTTGCCATGGTTATCATGGCAGTGCTCTGAAACTTTATTTGGCAACAGCTGGAGGCAGCAGAAAGAGTACTATAGACCTGCATGGGGGTGCAAACCAAATGATTGAATCACCACCGCTAGGTACAAGCATTTCCCCTCCCTGGCCAAGGTAAGAAAGAGGTAGAATGAGCTTTCATTTATAATATATATATTGTGGCAGAACGCCTTGTCCCGTGGCTGGGTACATCTGCCAAGCAAGCTTCCTAGCTCTAACTGTAGCTCTAACAGTATCGGTTAAGCTAATTATCTCCTGGACACAGAGAGAGCAACACATAAGACACACCAAAACATACATAAAGTAACTGACCACCACCACATGTCTTACACACCTGGATAACTTGTCCCAATCTGTCCAAATGGTTCACGGATTGGAGGTGGCTGGGCCGATTTGGATGGAAGTCAAAGTTTTAGCGGGCTGCGACTGCTCTCCGATACTGCTCAGGGTTCCATGGCACTGGGGTGAAAGTCCTGTTCACCAAAAACAGCGGCGCCTACCTTGAGTTCATCTGGCTCCCCCAAATCCAGGGTATAGTTGAATTCCCCTCCACTTCCTCTATCTTCCCTTTCAAAAAGCGCACTATTAGGTGATACTGGGACCGAGAGCGTTCTGCTTAAAGTTTCAGCAGACCGCGGTGGAACTGCAATCTGCTCCAGAGATCCATAGTGTTTGGAGGTTGCTCCCGGTCAATGGTGCCGTGTCTCTGGAGCCTCTCTGCGGGTCTGTAGTAGTCCTGGGGCTGCTAGGAAGGGAGGCACGGATGGGAGTGGGTGGTATGGTGAATATAGCACCTTCTAGAGGAGGTGTCAGGATTACAATTGATCCAACACGCAGTATTAGTATCACACTTAGGAATAAGGATAACGTCTAACAGGACCTTAGAATGGCTGGACTTAACATACTAGAGAATAGTCAAAATACTAGCTGAGGTCAGGAACACAGAACGAAACACAGTTGCAAGGAATAGCCAAAAGTCAGGGATACCAGAATTCAGGGAAGTCAGAACTAATTAAGGACGGAAGCTAACCACTACTGCTAGCCTAATCACACATCAATCTCTAGATCGTTATAGATTGCACTTGTCACAGTAGTTTACCCCTACACGCAAGATTTAGTTCAACAATCGACAGATAGAGCAGATACGACTTACCGGACCTTAGTATGGCCGGACTTGCCGTATAGCAGAGAATAGACAGAGTCAAGAACAAGCCGAGGTCAAGGGAACAAAGAGACTGCGAGAACAAAAACTAGCCAAGGTCTGGTACACAGTAGTCCGTAAGCCGACAAACAAGACAAAACAGGGATAGAGAGATAAACGGAGTCAGATACAAAGCCAAGGTCAAGCACGAAAATCACAACTGAACACAACAAGCGCTAAAGGGAACTGAAACAGAAACCACGATAGGGCAGGGAGTTAAGGGAGAGGTACCGTATTTTTCGCTCCATAAGACGCACTTTCTTTCCCCTCAAAAGTGAGGGGAAATGTCTGTGCGTCTTATGGAGCGAATGTGAAGCTTTACTTACCTGTCTTGTAGCGTGGGCCGGCAGCACAGCGCGCTCCGCGGTCCAGGAACTTCACTTTCAGGTTCCGGTTTCCGGCGGGACTGAAAGGAAGTGCACACTCAGTGTGCACACTTCCTTTCAGTCCCGCCGGAAACCGGAACCTGAAATAGAAGTTCCTGGACCGCGGAGCGCGCTGTAAAGCCGGCCCACGCTCCAAGACAGGTAAGTAATTATGGGACAATGGGAGGGGAGACACTATGGGACGAGGGGGAGACACTATGGGAGAAGGGGAGGGGGACACTATGGGACAAGGGGAGGGGGACACTATGGGACAAGGGGAGGGGGGACACTATGGGACAAGGGGAGGGGGAGACACTATGGGACAAGGGCAGGGGGGACACTATGGGACAAGGGCAGGGGGGACACTATGGGAGGGAAAGTGCACTATGGGACAATGGGAGGGGGGGACACT